CTCCACACTCTCAAAATACCACGGGTCAGTACTCGTGTTGCTCTGGTCCCGAACGGCAGGTAACTTCCAGTAGGTGGCTTCTAAAGAATGGAAGCTTGTTTCAAATTCCACAGAAGGCGCAGTTCACCTGCAGAAGATCATAGCTACCCGGCAGACTAAGTGCAGGCAACTTAAATTTAGCATGAAAAATATTCCCTTTAGGACGAAAACCATCGGGAAAAACGAACATATTCGAAAAAAAATAATGGAGGGACCGAAACTCATGCAAGCAACAAAAACATAAATAACAAAAATTAAAGATAACGGAAAAACCAAGCCAGGAAAGACTAGGCACTTCAACTCTATAAAAGCAAAAGCAATATAATTCACACAGAGAAGTGAAAATGCTTAAACCAATAAATTAAAATTGTAAAAAATGACCCCAGCATAGATACTACTAACGACAAGGACCATCAACGATTTCAAGGGCACGCCCAGCTTTGCGCTACATTAGTCCCAGCAGAAATCTGTTTAAGCAGGTCTAATCATGAAATGGCAAAACACAAGTCAATCAATCAAAGACAGGTAACAAGTCTGAGTCTATCTCACCACAATTTCCATAAAATGACCTCAGCACAGACATTACTGACAAAAACGGCTGGCACTAAAACAGTAATATCAATTTCGACCATGTCGTAGTCCATTTGCAAAAAAAACGAGCGACCTCGTACTCAGTGTGTTGCTCTGCGTAAAATAGGCTTTACACTGTGAAGTAGAAATGCGTTGGCTAACATCCATACAGAGTGCAAGTTTTTCTCTTCCGCCATTACCCCTCCATAGTTTGATGTAACTATGCACTCTCTATAATCAAAACCTATGTAAATAAACTAGGCTTTAATCCATGACAGAAGGCCCAAATCTTACTGCATGTCGATTGCATATTCTAATACTTCTGTTGTTTCAATGTTCATTTCGTAGAGGAAGCGGGCATACGAATCCAACCTACCGACTGACGCGTCAACATCCTGTAACCCGGAGAGCGGTTCCGTGTCCGTTTCCA